AACATCTAGTGCAATTTTATGCGTTTTTTATGCATTGTCATCCTGAACTAATTTTCTGCACGATTCTCCCAAATTCATTTTTATTTCTGCATTTTGTCCTACTGATTTTTACCCTGCTGGATTTTTCCTGTGATTAATTTTCCTCCCTTTTCCTGCTTGGAAACCCTGCCACCAAACTGGTCCAAGAGGCAGAGATTATTAAACATTCTTTCAAACCCTTTGACCAAAATCAATCAATAAAAAACTCCTCCACACCCAGCGAAGAAAGAAAGAAAGAACTCATCAAAGACTTGAATTGGCGTCCACTCCATTCTCATAAATTGTAAAGAGGATGGAGGAAATCAAATCAGAAATTACTTACCAGTCGATAATTGACAGGACAGAAGGAGTCGGACGTATATGGATGCACGCCATGCAATTACATAATCTCTCTCGAGAAACACAATAATAATATAAAATTCGTCTCCTCCTTCATTATGCATCGGATTCTGGATGAGATGACAACAAAGTGAGGGACCCCGCAGGAAGGATGTGGCGACCGCGTAAACAATCACCCCCAGGTTATCCGAGTAGAAATCACTGCATCGAAATCTGCAGTATTTAATCTACAGAAATTCGATAGATGTACATTTTTTGAGTAATCCTGCAGAAAATTTCTATTAATTGGATTCTGTAGAAATGTATGTGCATAATTTTCTGCAGAAAATTGAGCAAAATTTCTGCAGGAAAGCCGCTCAAGTTTTCACGCGTATAAGTACGCCTCCACCTCGTACGTACAACGGATCACATCCTTATTTTACGACCCCCCTAATTTTACACAATCACGGGTGCAGTCAAGTTAAAAAATATTTAGCACAATCATGCGAATTGCGTAGCAATACCGTTTCCACTCTCAATCTCTTCTCGTCAAGTAACACGCCTCACTTGGTTTGAGGAGTTTTCTTGTTATCGAATCGATTTGCAATCAATCAATCAATTTCGCATGAATTCAATGATACTGTTAAATAAATGTTGGGCTGATCACATCTCTCTCTCTCTCTGGCTGGCTGGTTGGCTGGCTTGTGATGAAAGATAATCAAACGAGGCTCATTGATTCCGAAGAATTCAAAAGATTAAATAACGACGTCTTGGAGGCAGGGGTTCTTTTAGACCAATTCGAGATAAAAATACGATTAATCATTCACTCACTCACTGGGTCACGTGTGTTCTCATAGCTCAATTATCAGTGCATGGATAAGCAGAAAAAAGTTACGTACAAATTCTACTCGAACTAATAAGGGGAAAAAATTTTAGAACAAATTTAATTTAATTTTCGGGGCAAAATTTCTTCCAACTTTTTGGCTGAAAGTTTCTGAAAGTCTGCACTTCATTTCACATTACGAGAAATATTTCACCCTCCACCAGGAATTATGCAGATGGCATAAATCTTCATCAAAAAGTTATCATCGAGTCCTTTGTCATTTTCTGTCGGAAATTTGTTTCCTAATTTCCGACATCATCCGACCCCAAGATAAAATTCAGGACGAAAATTACACACCTTACGCAATTCTACGTAATAATCACGCAATTTCACCCACTCAGAAAGTATACCGAGTGAGTGCAATTATGTCTTGCGTAATGTACCATTTTGCTCACATGCATTTTCTCGAGGATTGAATTGGCAGTCTTGTTGACAGCTTTTATCCATTTTTTTAATGGTACTTTAACTTCCCATTTGTATAATAGTTAGTGATGTGCACAATAAATATGCAGATTTCTGCAGGCCGTGCAGTAAGGATCCCACCGCACCGAGTTTGATGTCAAATTGGCATATTTTTCTGTAGAATCAGGCACTGCAGAGGAGAGTTTGCAGAAGTCTGCACAATTTTTCGCCTAAACTTTTCTGCAAAAAAGTGTACAATTTTTCTGCGGAGTGAATCATCTAGAAATTTTCTGGAGGATTTTGAACGTCTTCGGCACAAAAATTGACCAAGTCGTACGGGTAAAGTGGAAAATGGCTGAAAAAGCTACGTCATACTTCCTGCACACACACACCAGTTGAGGAATCATTCATATGCATAATGCACAATGGCAGGTAGTGAGTCTTCTTGGAGGAAAAAGAACAATTTATCCTTTGTCACTGCTTTATGAAGCGGTACGAGAAGAAGTAATCGCGAGTATTGTTCAATTGTGGATGCATTTTTAAAAAGAAATCGTAAAATGTGAAGTGTGTGAAAAAACCGTTTATACCACACACATAAAAGACATCAATTCGAAAATGACGTATTTTTCGTGACCAAAGTGTCCATTCTTGTCTTGTCTATTTTTATGCACTTGCATATTTTTCATCATCTGCAATAAATACGTGGCGTCGTCATTGTTAGGAAATCAAAGCCAGAGACATACATCTTATTTTTATATTATTATGCGTCTTGTGTATGCAATGAGATGAAATTTTTGATTTCCTAGTCGAATTTTGTTTTTGATCAGGGAATGTCGTGGTAAAATTTGCCAACAAAAATTGGCAGCAAATTTTGATTAGTAATTTTTTTTAATATGCCACAAAGGACAAATTGCTTTAATTTGGTCGCCAATCCATCCAAAATTTTAGACAGATTCATCTTATTTTTGTACTTGCGACGAGATTTTTTATTTATTAATCGAATTTTGTTTGGAAACTGAATTTATGGTAAAAAATTACCATACAAATTAGATAAGATTGGCAAATACTTAAAAAATGTGTCATACGGGACAAGAGTATGAAATAAATTTAGAATAATTGCTTTAATTTGGTCAGTCACGCAGTAAATATAATAATTCCATAATTTGCAAAATTTATGATAATTCCTGTGCCGATTTTGGTTTTCGATGGACTCACAATTTTGGACTGAAATCAAGCCTCCCATACATTCCCAACTATTTATATGCCCTCCATTATTTTTTAAGTTCACCTTTCACAGAATTCCTGCCAGATAAGAGGAGAGATTACAAAATAAAATGTGTACACATAAACAAACGCAAAAGTTGAAAGGATGGTGATTATGCATAAAAAATAATAAAAAAACTGCATACTTTTAACTTTGCATTGCAGTGACAGTTATTTAATCACGTCACTTTTCCACCATGACCCGCTTTCTTTCTCAGGACGCAAGTAAAGTCATTATTATACATATTTTTATGTTGCAAAAAAAAACAGAGAAATTGGTGATTAAAGGATTGTAAATTTGCATAGGTATCAAAGTTTAAGGTTACGAGGAGAGAGAACTATTTACCTATTTATTAATCGTAAACTTTGTAGAATTTATTTTACAAAATTTTTTAATGACATAACAAAAGCCAAACAATTTCCCAAATTTCCTTTATGACGAAGAGTCATGCTAAAAAAACGCAACTCATCCTTGTAGAAATTAATTATATGCAGAAAAAAGTATGGGAGGAGGGATGGCTTGGCTCATCACATCACACGGCCAGCTTTCATCAACTTAATCTCGAACAGATTACATTTTTTTGCAACATGTTTTTTTTATTCGCCATAAAACAATTAAGCTTCTGCTGCTTGGTACATGAAAACCCTTACCGTTTCTCAAGTTCAAGTGGCTGCATGTTGCATGTTGTTGCATATTATCAGGATGGATGGTTTTTGATTGTTGCAATAACAACACGCAGTTGAGTTATGGCTACGTTATCGAGCCGTATGATAAGCCGGGTTAATTGTTTTTAGTCATCTCTCAAATAAGGCATACATGACACTACATTGCATTGCTTAACTACCAAGGAGGGGACGGGGCAGGATAAATGAGACCTTTTTTTGATAACCCGTCATGTTAATCATTTCGCAATAAAAATTAAATCAGCCAAAAATCCTTTCTGCACGGTCCTCCTTGTGAAAAGAGGATGTTGGCTCTCGACTTAACTTGAGTGACGAATATTATTTAAGCTTATCATATCAGGTATATTAGATATGAAACAAATATGATCTAATGCAAATCTGACGTAAGGAGATGATTTTACAGGTATTATATGCAGAGAGGGAGAGAGTTTGTCAGGAAACAGGAGATAAGTGGCTTATCCAAATTTGTGGAAACGGCCACCCACCTCACGATACGATAAGATTTTACTTGGTTGACAGTTTGACACTGAGAGGCAACAACAACTACGCAGAAATTAATAATTTCTCAGCAGTAAGTTATTTGTTGGTAGTAGTAAAATCAGAGAGTAACAGAGAGAGTCGGGTGGTCGTCGTGTTTTTTAGTTAAATTCTTCCACACGAGGCGAGGATAAAAATAAATACCGAGTTTTTTTCGGCTGTTTTGTTATTGATCTTAATTAATTAATTGGTTAATTGGGACGAAAATTATTTTACGAAGAGGGGTCGCCCTTACGTAAGTACTTAATACTCAGGTTAGTTAGTGGATACAATTTGGTTGGTTATTTAGTTGGATTTTTGTTAATGTGGAGGTTCTTGGCTTAATTGTCATCGTCATCATCATAAATATAATTATTTAGTTGTTGTGTCCCGTTGTATCCTTCCGTTGGCAGGTTTCTCACGTCAGGTGGGTGTGTGTGTGTGTGTGCGATTTCGAATATTTCAATTCGACACGGTGGTACCCGTTCCTCGTTTCCTTCCTGGGCTGGGTTTTATTGTATTTTATTTTGAAACCGGTTTTTCTCACCTGCAATTTTATTTAATACGTAAGTTAAGTTTTCTGTGTGCATTATGGTTTTGATTATTTGAACCTGCCAATTTTTTTCCATGATTTGCTTGTTTTGTGGTTGAAGGAATTATTCGAATTGACAAGGTTTTATTGTGTCTTTTTTTATTATGGGAAGAAAATACAATTTGTGATGATTCAAATTAAACAATGTTAATAATGTGGTGGTGAGGTCATTGTTAATTTTTGGAAAAAAGACGTCATTGTTTACATGCATTAATCATTAATACGAGAACTTTGTCAACCCTGAAACAATTGTTGAGTGATAAATTAGATTCTAATTTTACCTTTTACATTCTTTTATTTCAGACGTCTCTGTCATCACACAAAGCACGTAGCTAATAATAAGTGATCACAGAATACGTGACGAAATGGAGTCTCTCACGGCGACGACTCGGATCACCCTGTCGTCGGACGATGTCATCCGTCCCCAGATGTTGCAACTGAGAGACTTTCGCCCCTTCAAGACGAGCGATGAGTATTTGTTGGCGATGAAGGAGGACTTGTCGGACTGGCTGCTGACCCTTTATCCTGACCTCTCCATCACCACCAACACATTCATGGAGTGCCTCGAAACCGGCGTTACGCTTTGCAAGGTCAGCCTCATATATTCATTTATTTGCAATCTTTAGATTTGTAAGAAGCAACGTCCTTAACTTATATGGATAGAAAAATGTTTTTTTAACCCGGGGCGCAAGTGGACTGCACCCGAAAAACCATAAAACTCTAATAAGTAACCTCTTCAATACTTTAAGGTCATGACGCAGAATTAACTCGAATAATGAGTCAAGTTCGCAAATTAATCGCATAAATTTTTGCAAGTTTTCTATTTTCCCCATATTAGGATGTTCACGTCAAAATCGCTTAAAGTCTTCATTTTAGATTTAAAAGTATGCCATTTTTATTCCCAAACTAATGAAAAGTGCAAAATAATTTTGCAAAATATTTCCCCCGAGGAAATATTGAAGACGAGTAAGTGAGTGAGTTGAAGACACGTCTCTGCCCAAATAGGAATTCTTCTTTCTTAAACAATGCCATAGGTACATTGTTGACAACGATTTATTGTTGTCACGTTACAAGGGTCAGTTATCCGACTAGCTATTTATTTACAAGAGGGTCGTCGTGTTACATTATAATCGTGCCGTAAGAAGAAAGAAATACTGCGAATTTTTGCATCGTCTGGGTCGTGCAGTGCTAAAAGGAGAAAAGTAATAATACTTTGCATTGTTTTGAGATTGCGTTACATATCCATTTCCCATATCCCAACGACGTACCTACCTACATACATGTCTCAACATTGCATTTCTCGATCCTTTTTGAGAAAGGTAGAGCTTTGAGCTAAAATGAAATCATGATCGTCGTCGTCGTTTTGTCCAAAAAAGATCAAGTTGGCAGCCGCGTCACGAGTTAAATACTACTTTTTTAACACGCGGCCACACCGGTTTAATTGCTGTCGAGGTAACTAACTGTGAATCTGAGTTATTATATTATTTTACACTACAAACCCATCCTTCGACGGGTGGAGATCGATCCTATCAGAGAAAAAAAATCATTTATTCTTGTGAGTACATATTTTTTTATGTCCACTTCCCAATTTGGCTTGCCATGGATTATGTTACAGATTGATAACGGGTTTTCAATTTAGGTAGGGAAGACCATATTTTGATTTAGAGGGTGCCAAGCTAGAGCAGCATTCATTTTTGCGGCGGCTGCTGGTGCGAAAAAATATTGGCAGAAGGTGAATGTTTGCACTTTGGTGGGGATTTCCTTTAACAGATTTTGTGGAGGGACAAATGCCGACCACAGATTTTATCAGGGGGATCTAAGGATTGACTACTGTAATCCTGTAGTAGCTGGACTTGGACTCGTCGTGACTTTCTAAACTGTCACATCGGATCATTTTGTTTTGTCAGGTTTCGTCTCATTTATTGCTCTGATGAGGCACGATCTTGCCTACCACAACGCCACCCTTCCGTTACTTCCGGCTGGATGTGACACATACGTGCAAAAGCGCCGTGCGGAGAAAATGTCACGGATTTTGACTCAATTTCCATCCATCCAGCGTAGAATTTAGGCCGACTGGAGTTTGTCTGCTGTCGATGGGTTACAAGATGTAGGTCAGCAACACGTCAATCCATCCACCTTGACCGATTCGTCAATACTACACCATTTATTTATAGATTCAGGTGTAGACTACACGATGTAGGTACACGGGTTCCACCACCACCTTTGTATTTGACTCTCCATGCCGCATGTACGATGGGGGGCAAGATAACGCCAAAACTTTCGTTCTTATCTCCCTTCCACCACATAATTTTGTACAACATTAATTGTTTTGAAATCCGTAATTTATTACGTCTGGAGCATTAAGAAATAATACTGCGGACGAAATTCCACTTTAGAACCCCACCTAGAAAAGCAGCGTTTCCTTTCACACACAAAATCATCCACTCGCTTCCAACTTATCTTTTTGTACTCTGGCTTTGATCAAGTGGACATAACTCACTTGTGGAAACAAGAGCGTCTTCTTAACGTGGTGTGTCTCTGACACTTGAAAGACCTCTCGAAAGCAACAATAACTTGCAGTGGTTGGTTGTAGAAGAGTGAGACTGTACTCTGACCCAGCCTTATTTTGATTGTTAGCTCGTGTTTTTTATGAGAAAAATCTTTTATCATCATCGTGTGTAGGACGGGGGCCATCCAGACGTGGGGATGAAGATAAACTTAATTCCTTAATTTGAAATTCAAACGCCAAGTTCATATCGATGAGAAGGACGTGTTAAAAAATAAGATGTGCGATACAAATTGCAAATTTGGACTACATTTCAATAAATGATACTTTTAGAGTTGTGTTCTCCTAAATTGTCAAATCGGTTGACCTGATTTGCAGAATTTTTAGCCCATTATTATGTAAATGTCGTATTTTTCATTGATACCAAAATTACTCCTGTTGAGATGTGAATCAAAATCTGGCTAAAAATCTGTCCAATCCTTTCTGCACGACCCAACCCAACCGCATCGTCATTATTTTTTAAATATGTAAATACCGAGAATTGTATCACTATTAGTTTACCTACTTATTTGTGAGAACGGATCGGCTGCAGAAGGGTGTGCCCGTCTGCTGAGGTGCTTGACTTGACTCCTCTTCTAAAATGATGACCATAAAAAGCCGGGGGGAAAAGGAGGAAAGAAAAAGATGACTTTACTCCCCATTATTGCCCTGTGGGCGATTACTTAATAATGTAAATCTAAATGTACACAATATGTATATAATCGAGTAGGAATACATACATACATATGTACGCACACACATAAGGCCACTTATTTACCACGAGGAGGACGTTGTTTTGTTGTGTGCATAAAATAAATTAATGGCTCACTAAGCAGAGTAATAATATCGGGTGGAAAGAGTCGTCGTTCCATTAATGAGATGGTATTCAAAACTGTTTTAAACGCCCATCGTGAATCTTATTAAAAAAAAGTTGGGCCCGGAGGACTGGTTAAAGTAAGAAAGTTGATTCATTCAAATCCAAATTTCCGTCAGGTGGGATTCCAAATTACTTTGAAACTCGTATCATCTCGTAGTTGGGGATGATTACGTATTACTTTGATAGCGGAATAGCGTCATGCAGCGTTATGATGAGCGAGAGATGCAATCTTAATGTTGTTGCATAATAATTAATGCGATGATGGAGGACGTTATTTTTCTTTTTACTGCGTAACAATTTAGATAATCACGTCAAAATATTTAAACGTTGTAAATTGAGCTACTTACGGGAAATTTGTCTCATTTTCGTGGGTTGTACTTTTGTCACCGAATCCAATCAAATGGGTGTGTCGCGAAACTTGTGTGCGAAATAATTCCGTGTCATTTGTCCCGATGCGAAATAACTTATTTTCAATAAGAAGCCGTGTGGTAACGTGACTGAACACGCCCAGTAATTTGAAGTAAACGTGGGCTAAATTAGTGGGGAGTAAAAATTTTTGCAAATTTTGTAAGATTTAATTTATTTTCGAGTTCGAATTTTACTTTTAGTTGGCACGTTTAGAAATCCAGTAGAATTTAAAATTTAGACGACTATTTTTGCATGAATTCGAAATGTGTTAGTATAATTTTTGGTAATAATTTGCTAATTATTTAAAACCTTTCAGCACGCCAACAACGTTCGCCAAGCGTGCCTCGAGTGGATTGAGGAGGGTAAAAAGCTGCCCAAATGTTGGGGGAAGGAGTGGAAGCTGCCCCACGGAGAGGTCACCTTCAACCCCAACGCCAGACCGGAAACGTTCTTTGCGCGAGATAACGTTCACAATTTTATCACGTGGTGCAGGAAGCTGGGAATCTTTGAGTGTCTCCTCTTCGAATCGGATGACCTTATCATGCGAAAAAATGAGAAAAGTGTCATCCTCTGCTTGTTAGAGGTGAGGGTGTCGTTTTCATAATTGAGAGCATGCAATAATCAGAATGTGATGTAGTTTGAGTTGTTTAAACTTAAAAACTGAAAACCTTATTAATTTCTCGAAAATGTGGACAACTGATAATTTTTTTTTAATTTCCCTGTGTGCAGGTGGCCCGACGAGGTTCGCACTTCGGCATGGCGGCCCCAATGCTGGTCCAGTTTGAGAAAGAGATTGATCGCGACATCGCCAAGGATACCGGCGTGGATCTGAGCAGTTCTGGCGAGGAAGAAGAATCCCTCCTCGAATATGGCCCCATCCCACAAATCATTACTAACGACCTCCGCTCGCTGGATGAAAGAGTAAGCAAGAAACTTTGAAAATACTTTGATTTGAGACGGTGCAGTTGAGATGTGGTCGGATTTTTGAGCGAGGTCGTACTCTCGCTAGTTCACATCTTCAATGTGTAGCCCTTGATGAGGATAGTTTTTACTTTATTGTGCAATTTTTCCTGGTTTTATTAAAGGTGCGCGAGTTAGTGGAGAGGTGCTCTTGTCCGACCCAATTTCCCATGATTCGTGTTGCCGAGGGAAAGTACAGGATTGGAAATACCAAAGTTATGATTTACGTGAGGGTGAGTAAGCAACAACAATAAATGGTAACATGGCTTGTTACATGTTAACTAGAAAAGTAACGTATTACGCGAAGAATTAGAGGCTCGGGTAGTAATAAATTTTTACAATTTGGACGTCAGATTCTAAGAAATCATGTCATGGTTCGTGTCGGTGGAGGATGGGATACACTCGCCCATTACTTGGATAAGCATGACCCTTGTCGCTGCTCTGCAAGTGAGTCGTACTTCTGAGTTCATTAACTTGTAGGTGACCTTATAGGTCACATGTCATCGCACCGCTACATTTTTAAATTTGGGTTTAGGTCATCGCGCAGCAATCTCGTCAAGACTGATTCTGAAGAATAACGACGGTGGCGTCGGAGTTGGGGCGAGCCCGAGGATGAAGGTCGAATATGAAAGGTGAGCCTTAATGGTTACAAATTATGTTACTTCGTAGTTATGACCGGATATTTATAGAGGAGAGTTTATGCAGTTAAGTGGTTGGTAATTAAAAAGTGATGTGATCTTACTCATTTGTAAATATTCCTTTATTAATAACAAACGCAAGTCCGGGACTGTTTTCAAGGTAAAGAGCCTGCCATTAATTTTTATGTGCATACACACGTGTCTCGACTAATTGGTTGGTTGGTTAGTTAGTTTTGTGAATCGTTGTAATGGTAAATAATTTGTAGCAATGATATTTCCTTACCTTCAGACGTGACCTCTCTTTCGACGGGAATGTAACTCCGCCCTGCGCCCCGCCATCCTTCACAACGACATCGATTAATAATAACAAGACGAATAATAAAGTGGACTTGAGTGATTCCGGGTCTGAGATTTCCGACGAAGGGTACAAAACTTCGGATAACAATATCATCCTCAACAATTGCAAGTTGCCCCTGGAGAGGAACAATTATCACAGTAATGGAAGCGTCAGTCTTAACGTGTCCCCTACAAAGGAGACCGTCGCTGGTGCTGGAAAGGGGCACGCCAGTAGGAGGACCAGTCTCGTCAGAACGAGGTCAATGTCCACGGATGAGGGTGAGTTTTGTGCATTTTCTACGTTTCGTAATCCATGTAACGTTTTGAAACTGCGCAACTGTGTCAAGTTTGTAAAGTTTTGCGAATACATAATATTTGTAAGCACTTAGCGAGCAAATTTCTTATCTCTTACCTTAAAAACAAACTTTTTTTGACAATATTGACACAATAGATTTGACCAGATCTTGTCTTTTTTCTCTTCATTATTATCCAGACCGACCCGACTCGCGCTCCACCGACGAGGACATCATCCCCCTCACCCCACCTCGCAAGGAGCAGTCTATCCTAAAAAGCCATAGTACAAGCCGCGTCCCCAGCCACACTTATTCTCCCCAACGCAGTATTTCCAACGACCGGTCCGGTAACCAACCTTCCCTCACAAGGAAACGGTACGTCTCCGGAGAAGCCTTTCCCCCCTCCTCGTCCCCCGTCAAGCATGCCTTCGGATCTACCTCGCATCCACCCAACGTACTCAAAACGCGTCCCCAACCAGCAAACACGCGCAGTCTGTCCGCCTCTGGCCGGGCAGACTTTTACGGGAGAAATACTATGGGTCCGAACGTGGGCAAGGCCACCGCAGTTCATCGAACAACCACCCAACCACGAACACCAACTGGGGGTAAGAACACGTGGAACGGGTACGGAACCGGGCCACGTGTCCGACCTCGTCCCAACCTCTTCCAATCCGACCTATTCACGAATAAAAGGCAGAACTCGGACCTTGGCCAAGGTCAAGACGAAGGGGATTACAACACCGCCAGTGACCTTCCCGATTTGGCGTCCTGCATACGAAAAGCCCTCGAGCTGCGATCCGATGCCGAGAAGATTTCTCATATCGAACTTGTCATCAAACAGTACGAATTACAGAGGAGTGACAGCCTTCCTCAGAGCGATGAGTCGGTCAGCCTGCCCTACCTAAATCACCAAGGGTCACTCTCCGCACCGCCGAAATCCCTCGGAAATAACGTCATCGTGAGCAAAAGGAAAGAGACGGGGTTCACGAAAATTCCAAAACCCAACTTTTACTGACTTTCGCCAACTTCCAGTAGTAAGAAGAAGAAAATATTTAATCAGGTTTATAGCATATACGGAATAGTAATAGTAGTAATTAACTATAAACAGTGGGTAACACAATTTATTACCAATTGGTAACTATTTATTCGCACAAGACATCAATTTACATATACGAATTGGAGATCACATCAAAGTAAAAATAGTCTCAAATAGTGATCCCCCACTTTTTGCGATAATCTTCTAAAATCGGCCGACAAAGGTTGAAAGTACAGAATGCGTTAGTTAAAATAATAATCAATACCAATTTTAAATTGGTTACGGAGAAAATATTTCAACAATCAGTTTTTTCCCTTCTTTTTTTCCACGCTGTTGATGATGATGATGTTGCAACAAATACATAAGTCTAGTAGCAAACTAAATGCTAGTCTTCAAATTATCTTTAGGGGAGGAATTAACTGTCTTTTTTTATTAATTGCATCCGGTGCTAGAAACTTAATGGTGGCTGTTACACTTCTTACAAGTTAATACGATTGCTGCTGCAGCTGTCTGAAAGTATGTAGCAAATATAATTGGGAAATATCTGCGAATGCGAGACAATTTAATTTTTATTTAATTGTCAATTAACTTATAGGGTGCCTTACAAAAAAAATGTTACAGATGTCCTGTATAATTAATCATATTAAGAATAAATTGTGAAAGGAAGATCGAGTGCCAAATGAAGCAGCGTTGGGTGTCAAGTTTTGGCCAGTTTTTAATAGATAAATAATAACTTAGATTAGTATAAAATTTGATAACGTAACAATCAGACCAGACAATTCATCAATTCGATTTCCAAACTGTAACGAATCTCAGAAAGCATAAAATAGACTAGTTTTATGCAGATAATATTTTAGCCAGACTTTGTAAATTCCCATTTCCTAAGACAATTCCTACACAATTTTAGAATAGAAATCCATACTCGGAAAATCCTAGCCAACTCTGCCTTCAAATTGGTGGGTTTTATTACATTGTTTCCTCTTGGCAGCTAAAAAACTCATCTAATTGATACACAATTGAAATCGTATACTGACATCCAAGTCCACTGCACTCTTTCCTTAAAGAAGTTATATATCTAGCAAATGTTAAATTCTGCACCCTCACGCAAATTATGTACCCCTCACTAAATTTAGGCCATTACACGGGCTAATTTACCCTTTACTAGAAAAAATTCAACCCAACAAACTAATATCGTTCGTACTGAAAGGAAAAAGACTAATAAAACTGAAACGTGAAAATTCCCTTCTACTAATCAGTCTCATATGTCACGTCATGTCGTATTAGAAAAGTTTGTTTGTACCTCAATCTCAAAATGTAATTGAATTTAGCGACTTGTTTGTCCCTCTTTTTTCTTGTAACCGCAACAATAATAATCTTTTTTTGAGGAGGACAGTGCTACGAAAATATCTACGACGAGCGCAGTCGAGGATAGAACTGAGATTCCGTTTCGAAAGGAATCAAAGATGCGATGATAATCATAATGATAGCGCCAAACCGCTCACTCGCAGAACAGATGTCAATTTTCAATAGATAAATGTAGGTTGTGAAATGAAATGAAATCTACAAAACTCTACTTTCTTTACAGGCTTCGTTTCTCTCGCTCACTTTTTTTGTACAGGCGGACGTGACAATTTTTTTCAGACATTAAACCTTTAAATAGGTATGTGTGGACGGGTATGTATGCAAATTAGTCAAGTCGTAGATAAGATAGAATTTTGATATGTTTAGATAGAAAGAGAAGGAAAAAATATCGCATTTATTATTATTATCTACCTACTTATGTTTAAATTCAGGATGATATTTAGCACGAGATTTGCAAATTTTTGTTTGTTTCATAATTAATTAAAGTAAGTAATTTACTAAGCCTTCAGCCGATAAAAAACGTATTTTTTAGTTATCCCACTTTGCCATTAATTTTTCCATAATAATTATAAATAAGTAAAAAAAAAAAGTGCCACTAATAATTAATAAACTGACTAACACATTTTCCTGCATAATTTTAATTAATTTGGGAGGAAAACACGATGAGATACGATACATACATGCAAAAAAGTGCCCTTTCTTAAGTAATTGCAGGTGCAGCGTTAAATAAAATCAAGAATTTGAAATTGCGCTGCATGCAAGAAATAGAATTTGTCAGAAATGAATTTATAAATATTTACGGAATGTTATGTAATTTAATAATTCTACGATTAATTATTTTGTGTGTACCGTTTTTGTTGAGAGTGTTGAGAGATTATTTAGTTTAATTAGTGATAACAATTAGTTTACTTAATTGCGATAGTAGTTGATCCGCATAGTTGATGATATTTAATGCGTAATTAATAAAAAATTTTATACAGATTATATACAGAGTAAATATAAATACGGGGAAAAATATGGTTACAATTTTAGTCTTAGAGTTACATACATTAATTATTGAAAAGTAATAATAAATGATTGAAAAGTAAACCAAATACATGTGTGTGTATATTATTCGCAAATAATTTTCATCATAATTTACATACTTTTTGGCGAATCGACACAAGGCATAAAACGAGGCAAATTGAGACATTACTTCTAATTCATACACATTCTCAACTGCATTCTCAGAGAATAATACCAAGGAAAATAAGTTACATATGCATAATCCTGGCAAAAAATTTACATTCTAGATAATTTCCATAATTTTGACCAAACATAAAACCAAATGCGAACCAATTATTTTAAAACGAGGCAAATTGAGACATCACTTTTAATCCGTATTCATTCTCAACTGCACTCTGAACTAGAGATCCGTAGCATAGTTTGATGCGGATCTTGCTCCGTAAGCATTTCCCAACTTCCGGTCGACTCCGGGCGAAAAGCACGACGGGAGGTGAACACCTTCACGACATGACACGACTTTTGGCCAGTCATAGAATAGGTCAGACGGCGCCATGCAGTCAGTTCCTCTCACCCAAATAAGTAAATAGAAATACACAAAATTTCACCAAAATATTTCCATAAAATGTAAAACAAATAGTGCTTGTTTGTAAAACAAACAACGTGATTTAATAATGGAGGTAAGAGCAGCAATTAAGCTACTTATTTGCACCTGTGTCCTCAACATAGGAAACAAACGTGTAGTCAGAAGAGGCAGAACGAGAATTCTGATACGGAAATATTAGCAAGACGAGAATTCTGCAAAATAAGTCACGTCAGTTTTTTTACCTATCGAATTAGCAATTCATTACACCACAGGCATTCCTATTAATTAATTTTTCTACATTTATCTTCAATTTGTTTTAAAAAAAGCTCAGAAATGATTTTTGTCCCAAGCTGCTTACTAAATTTGAGAATTTTTGATTTATTACTGATTTGATTTGATGGTGCCTGTCATTAAAATTGTGTGCAAGTCTGGTTTTACCATCTTGAATGTCGTCGTCGTCGTCGTCGTCGTTGTCAATTTATTAAGGAGCACATTTATCTCTTGAGATTTGTTTTCGTTACTGCTTTTTTTTGAGATGGGGAATTAATCACTGATCCAAAATTAAAATGGCCCGTGGTGGTTAAATATTCTCTGTGGACCACAAGTTACGGTGATGCCTCCCTCTTGACACACGATATAAGGAAATCAAATCAAATTGCTAAACTTAAAGACACTTTTAAATTCGTTTCGGATGGATCGACGTGAAATAAAATCAAGGTTTTTCTCGACGTCAATAAAAGCAAAACTTTTGTTAATATTTTTAGTTTAACAATTTATTTTCAATAAAAAAAACTAGCGCATGCAAAATTCTTTTTAAAAACCTGCTGGAGATTTAACCACCAATTTGCAATTTGCATCTATCCTCCACCAATGAATATTGTTAGCAAGCAGAGAGTAAATTGCTATTGTAGGTAAAGTAAGTAACTCAGTCAGAAATTGGTCACCTACATACATACATTTTTTTCACTAATAAGACAGACACAAGGACGCAACGGGACTTGTATATGGTTCTAAATTTTTCTTTGCACACTATTCCGCCACCATTTTACCGTAAAGAATAATAAGACGTACATGAATTACAATCAAGCAGCGATGAGAATGACATTGTTATTATTATTTCAGAGATCTAAATGAGACAACAATCACACGCCAACAACAATGAGCAACAATGGTCAGCTCTGAAAATACCGGTGGTGTCAGCAACAACAAGAACGGTGGTACTGGCGCTTCTTCTTCTTCAAGTTGGTCAGTAATTAAATTCTTGGACGACAATGTCCGCTACATTAAGGTGAGAATAAAAAATGTATTGCCGTGCCACCCACCACCACCACCCTTAAAATGACAGGTTGTAACCGTACCTCACATCACGACTGGGTACACAATGGTCAATTTGTAAATTATTCCTCCTAATTTTTAAAACTGTTGTGATTGTGGTTTGGTATTTTGTCTAGTTTTCCAAATACATGCGACTACACAATGCGAGCCGTGCGGAAGGGATGTGGGATGGGATCTCATTTTTTTTTGGGGGGGGATGAGGTCAAACTGCGATCGTATTTAGAAGGTTGGGTCCCTTGACGTGAGGATTAGGTCAACAAATTGACACTCAAAATCCGTAACATCCCTCCTGCCCTGTCTTCGATAACAATGAAATGAAATGAAATGATGATCATCATCATAACGTTGCTGGCAGACGGACTAATAATGTTTTTCTTTTTCATGCGACCATCCGTCCGTCGGATGCATTTCTTTATATAAAAATTTCGCCTTTGAATGCCCCCTTGTTATTATTTGGTTACAAGAACGAAATCATCAAACCGTGTCAATCAGTCAGTAGTGGTAAATATGCAGTCATATAGCGTCATTTTAATGGTGAAATAATTGATGAAAATGATTGATCCCATCTGGCATGCACTTAATTTGAACACGTATAAAATGCCAATATGTCATGAAAACTAATTGATTTGGTTATTTACAGTATCCATTCTTCATTATCGGGTGTGGAGGAGTGTTCCTTATCGCGCGGAGTATCAGGCTGGTAAATACATATATCTTAACCAGAAAAAGTTGACAAATTGATGCAATGGCTGATTAATTAATTATCAGGGGAGGAAGTTCACCTCAGCGGGTACAATTCCGAGAGAATTTTACGCCAAAAACTTTACACTTTATGGAAGGGTAGAGCAAGTGAAGAAATTTGATGGGGGTGAGCAGTCCATCGTCCTCTTTGTCGACCATGCCCCCATTTTGGCAAGGAAGAGGAGATCGTCGTCACTGCCACAGGAGCCAAGCTACCTTATCAACAATTGCCTCCAACTCACCGTCCCGGGAGTACTCCTCAAGTCGAAATACTTTCCCGAACTGCACAACAAATTGATGGCGCAAAAAGTGGCGTTCACTTTGTTAGAAAAGGATGAAAATATGAACTCGGCGAGTTGTCTCGTGTTCGTGAGAACGATTAAATTTATGGTAAGTTGGAATGCAGTTAAAGCAAATGATAAGTAACGGTTGTATTTATATTTTATGTTTTCATAGATAATCCCCCGATATGAAAATATTGCTTTTTGGTGCGTTCAAAACGGATTTGCTACCACATCTGCGATTCCGTTCCCATCTGAATTGAGAGGATCTAAAAAGTTTAGTCAGTATTACGAGAAACTCTTAAAACTTGAAAGTAAAGCGGTTCAAAAACGGAAAGGGATTTGGGATGAAGAAAATCCTAGCAAATTTTGGATTGTTAAAATTTTGAAGTGGTTTTTGCAAATGTGGCGAGAAAGGAATCGGTGACGACAAAGAACAATTTATTTGTGAAATAAATTATAGAGCAAATCTTTCCAACCGGTGTAAACTTTGCAAGTAGAAAAGTTTGCAACAAAATTTAGCTCACAAAAAAAGTGTTCCCATACATAATGTACCCACTTAATTAATTTTGTAGAAGTTTACACCAGGCTTGGGCAAGATACTTTATTTTCAGATACAAGATAAAGATACTTCTGCAAAAAAATCCAAGATACTAGATAAAGACACTTTATTCTCTGTTCTTTCCAAGATACTTAGATACTTAGTAAAAGATACTTTTAAGTATTTTTAAAGATACAAGATACAAGATAAGATAAAGTATCTTGAATATTCCACAAGATACAAGATACTTTTGATTTTTTTTAAGATTTAAAAAAGATAAAATTTCATATTTTTTGCCATTTAGGCATCGCCAGTAAAATGAAAGTCTTACTATTGAGTAGTTAGGCATTGAAAAACACCTTCCACTAGCAAAAATACCACGCATATTTTCTTACAAATTACAATTACTACCTCATAAATCATAAGAAAATCGAACTTTAGATGTCGCGGGTAGCATATTTTGCAAAAAGTATCTTGTATCTTAAAAAGTATCTTAGATACTTTCCTCTTGATGGAAAATATCAGATATAAGATACAAATACAAGATACTCATTGAGGATTTTCCAGATACAAGATACAAGATACTTTGAGCTGAGGCGGGTGGAAGATACAAGATACGAGTAGTATCTTGTATCTTGTATCTGGTATCTTGTATCTTAAAGTATCTATCTTGCCCAAGCCTGGTTTACACACAAAGTTTACACTGATAAATGTGATAAAAATACCTTTCGTTATTTAAATGACAATCAAAAAATAAAAAAAAGACATTGACATTTACATAGAGCAGCAGCACGAAGCAACAGAAATCAATTCATTTTATTTTCTGTTCAACTTATTAACGTAATTATGAAGAACTACGTTCTTAACAATTTTTTTATATTAATCAGTGATGTACGTACGACCTTTTGATTACCTTAGTTATCAAAGAGCATATAATTATCGTAAAAAGTTGGAAATATTTCCTTTAAAACAGTCACCCGGAAAATAAAATACGCCGTACTTCCTACATATTTGTAAATTTATATGTATATAAAAAAGTATGGATTAATTAAGCTACGATATTTTTAACACCGTATGAAATTCATGAATACAAATACTACACAATGTTTTTTGGCTATTATTTAAATAAATATTTAAATATTGGTGGTCTAGCTGCAAAAAGTGTTATGTGATTTATCGGCATGTTTCATCTCAGGAAATATAACTACCAAAAACTCTCAGATAACACTTTTTGCAGCTAGGCCATCGATATTAGGCTTTGGGAGGCAGTCTGTTTTTTTAAATAAGCGAGATTACAAAGTTACATGGCAGTTAAGATCTGAATAAATATTGGACGTTTGAGTTGCAGTTCTTTTCTTCCAGGACGTTAATATTGTTTTATCTTTATAGGAGCATATCGTTGAGATTCAGAAATTTAATAGCGTATATTTTAGAAGCGGACGCTGCGACGGGTGATATCTCTGGATAGGATTTGAAAATCTCGCATGCCTCGGCGAGCTTCGTCCAAGTCGCGACGGAAGTTGTTGGACGGACTATAAGCAAGGCTGGCCACCATACTTTTCTGAAATAGAATTAAGAGGTTCAGTTAGTTGAAGGAAGTAATTATATGTCAGCAATTTTACACAAACCCGAGTCAGTCGAGGAGTTGATGGACGATCAGCCAATCTGAAATAAAAATTTACAATGTTACAACTTTGTTTAGAAAACTGTCTGGCCACGATTTCGTCATTGGTCAGAATATGAAACTGAATTTCATTTCATACTAGTCTTCGAAATAATACAACGATTATTTATTTACCTCTTTGGTGTCTTAATAGAAATTGGGGTCTCAATTCCGAACGGAGAATACAGTTTGGTTGGCGTACGGCCTAGGATTTTCCGAGTCGCAGGGCTCGCTACGCTGCCTGGTGTTGACGATGGGACTCGATACCGACGTCGGGTCGACTTACGAAATTTCTTTTAAAAAACAAAAATATTAATCTAAAACGACTATTTATTGTACTTTTCTATATTTATCTCTTCCTCTTTAAATACCTGTGAGAAATTACCCAACGACGCTTTCACCCCCTGCACCGTTTTGTTCAACCGTTTCGACAACGACATTCCAGACGTTTCTCCTCCTCCTGGTCCAATGTTAAAATTATAATTCTCCCTCGGCTGAAACGGCACGGGATCGGATTTCGCGTTCGTCCCCTCCCCCGTCGTCATCGTCACTACGTCAGGTGGTTGATACTTATCCTGGATTTGAACCTCCATCCGCATCTCGTCTTCACCCTCGTCATCCTCCTCCAAGGACAAAACTTCCTCGCTAATCTTCTGCCAATTGTTTTCATCCTCGAGATTGTTCATGTTTGAGTATCGCCCCCCGTTGCGTAATCGTACCAAAGAATTGCCCAATTTTCTCAACCGACTGCCAGAATTTCCTCGCTGGACGGCCCAGTTGTCAGACTTGTCGTCCTCACTAGAAGTGGGAGGAGGAGGAGGATTACTACATTGTTGTGATGATGATGATGATGTTGATTGTTGACTCTCATCGTCATCGTCCAACTTTTGATGTGGCAGCTTCGTCTTTTGACTCTGACCTTTCATCCAAGTGAAGGAGAAACTTCGAGTGTCCGGTCGCATTTTGGGATGATTTTAACTAAAGGAAAATGAAACGAGTTAAAGCTAATGCTTCATGACCAAGGTGGGGTGTGACGACTCATTTTGACATTTTGTATCCAGTAGATTAGATTATTACAAATTCCAATGAGTTAAACGAAATTTATCTTACCTTTACGTAAGGACGACTAGGAACAAGATATATTTGGCAGGTCTCGTCTTGATTGTGTTCACACCCAAACTGGAAATTGAAATGACTGCGAGAAGAATGTAAATCTAAAAAATCAGAAGGATCCCAACGGTCGACGATGTATATTTTATATTCTTCCATCCAGGCTCTTAAAAATTCTATGAATCCAGTCCTCCAAGCAGCAGCAGGTTGTTATCACCCCTTCAGTCAGCCCGACCGGATTTATGTCTTAACGGACAAACTGTTCGCGGTGTGTAAGCAAAAACCACTCTGCCTCTCTGAACAAAGTGACGCTATGAAAATCCCATGAAAGTGAACCCACCCAAAAAAATGCTATCGTCATTGTCATCAATTACATTACAATTTTATTTCTCTTGAATTTCAGTTTCTCATAAAATATATAAACAAGCACAAATTTGCAGGAGTGAGCAAGATACTTTGGTCGTAAGATTCAAGATACAAGATGAAGATTTTCTAGGATATTGATATAAGATACAAGATAACAGATACACAGAAATCCGTGATTAACGAATTTTTTTGTTGGATTAAGGATTACTGTTATTCCGAGATTAGATTAATCCGGGATTAATTAAATAATTCCATTTGCTGGGATTAAGGATTAATTCACAAATCTCTTAGATTCGGGATTAAGGATTAATTAATCCTGATTAATTCTTGATTAAGGATTAATATTATTATTATTTACTGCATTTAATGTAGTTTAATTATTTATTGTAGCACATAATAATATTGAAACGTCAAATATATACAAGACAGACTATGTATAGGACTTTTGCATGTCAAATGTGAAGTAAAATTTGATGTTGGCCTAACCACACCAATTATTGCACGTTTTGGTGCACAAGCTATGCACCTGGCCTACAAAGAACCGCTGAATTTGTCAATTGTTCGACATCAAAGAATCTGCCGATGAAGATGAACGGCAAGTCTTTCAGCTAAGGAGGACAACCCTTCACCGACAGAATGCCCTTTGGATATGTTGTAGTCCTAGGTGAGTCTAGCAAAAGTGAAGAAGGATTTCATTCCATGGCCCAATTTGCGCCCGCCACACCCACTCAAAGGTGTGAAAAACACGAAATATACCCTGTTTTCGTTCATTCAAAAAATCACCAAAAATCTAGTTTTGATCGGATTTTCATAATTTAAGCGTTTTTGTGATCTTAGTTGGTTTATCATATCCAATAGCTAACTCAATTTTTTTGAAATTTTGATCTTTTCGAAGGCATATCCCTGGTCAGGAAATTTTCGAAAATACTCGAAAAATTAAACTAATTGAGTTTGCTATTGTATATTATAAAGCAACTATCTAAGAACACAAAAACGCTCAAATTATGAAAATCCTACCCAAATTGAATTTCTGGTGATTTTTTTAATGAACCAAAACAGGGCATTCTTACACCTTTGAGTGGGTGTGGCGGGCGCAAATGGGACCATTGAATGAAATCCTTCTTCACTTTTGCTAGACTCACCTAGGACTACAACATATCCAAAGAGCATCAAGATCGGTGATTCTGTCGGTGAAGGGTTGTCCTCCTCAGTTAGATCACTGTTAAACATGATTAACGATTGAATCAGTATTTTTATGGAAGCGACAATTCAAAGTTAAGAATTTAATACATTTTAATTTCGGGAGAGGAAAGTAGAAAGAGTGGAAAAATATCGAATGGTTATAAGAATGTGTAATGGTAAGTGTTACTTCACTCCTGACTCCATTCGCAGTGATTGTTCTCTTGCGATACTTATTCTTAATCATGATTAAGGATTAATAATTTCGATACGCTTGGTCGGGATTAAGGATTAATGGCGTGGAAATATTTCGTCGGGATTAATGATTAAGGATTAATTGCATACAATTTTTGTCGGGATTAAGCATTAAGAATTATTAATCCTTAATCTCAATCCTTAATCCATTAATCACGATTAATTAATCACGGATCTCGATACATCATGTACACAAGATACAAATACTTTCCTAAAAATTAAGTAGTCAAGATACAAGATATGTATCTCAAGATACTTTTATATTAGATAAGATACTTTCTTTTTTTAGCCTGGTATTCATTCCCAATTATACTTATACAAATAGTCGTGGTTAATAATTTAAAAAATCTAGTGAGTATAAAACTTAAAATCATTCTGTAATCATCATCATCTTAGAAATTTTGTTGAAGCGCATGTACTTCGAAAGATTTCTAAATTTCGAAAAATTAGATATGCGTATACTTTTAAGAGGTTCATAATATTTTTACAATATTCCCTGCTTATTCAAACTAAACCCTATAATACCTATGCATTAGTTAAGCGTAGGTACATATCATGTAATGTGCGACATATGTATATGTACACATGAACATATATACATATGTACAGGTTTGTTACTAATTGGCAAAACATGAAGTAAAAATTCACCAAACTCTGGTTACGACAATTTCATGGTCAAATTGACTGACAGTAGTAAGAAGTTGACTTAATTTGTCGGAATTTTGAAAAAAGTATCTTGTATCTTGTCAACTATCTTAAGATACTTTTCTTCCAGGCATATCTAGATAACGAATCCCAACGATTGTTGGCGTATTTTCATAGGGTGTCTTAATACCCGATGTCTTCTAAAACCGAGGTAGCCGGAAAAACGGGAACTTTCCAATATTTTGGCGTAGTGTCGCTCTGCCGGAGCAAATTTCAAATCATTTTCCCCACAACTGCTGGAATTTGTCTCCTGGTTGTGGTAGACCTTTGGATAAAGCTCTGGGTAGCTGGTGGTAGCTCCGATTCGAACATAATTTACAGTTGGCTGCCACCTGTAGTAAAAACAGAGGAAGGGATCGTGATTGTCTACTCGGTCATCGTGGGGCTGCTCATAGCCACATTTTTCCTAAAGAGCACCTCTTCTTCTCAATGTGCGTCTGCATTTCGGCCAGATTGCATTCCTCCATGAGCAAAGGAGTTATCGGAAGCCCGTTAAGTTTTTTCGAAAGGACGCCGTCAGGTCAGATCTTATCTCGGTTTTCCTCAGACACAGGGACACTCGACGATATTTTGCCCCAATCTATATATGAAAGATATATATCTATATATGAAAGACTTCACAGTGATAAGTATTGCTCATAAGATACACAATATTTTAGATTGCGATAAAATTGTAGTGCTGGATGGAGGACAAATTGTTGAGAATGATACTCCACAAAAACGAATGGGAAATCCGGACGGTATATTGTACCGACTTGCTCATCCAAACGCTGACGATGATCAGTATTTTCAAGATAATGATGTAATAGATAGATACAAGTTTATAAGTTTAGAATTAAGTTAGCAGCGATAAGTGAAATTTAAGTTATTTGATAAATACCGCTGCTTAATAATAATGATGAAAATGTGTAATTAATCAAAATTGTGAGACATATACATTATAAGAGTAATAATAATTAATTAATCCAATAGTATTTGTACCCAGAAAGTTAATTAAACATTATTAAGTATCTTTATTTAATTTACTGACGCATGTACACACTTAATTTGGTTGTGTGTGTGACCATAAAACACGAATACAAATATTTACTTTTGGAATAGTGGGCTCACGCTCACCCTTTGAATACTGACCTTTAACAGAGGTACAACTAATTTAGACATTATATTAAATTGCATAAACAAAGTTCATACGAACAAATTATCGACGACGAAGATGTTGCTGTTAGCTTTAGTGAGAAAAGATGGAGCTTATAGATCTTCATCATCATCGGGTAGAGCAACGTTGGCTGCCTCCTAAAATATGCAAATAAATACACAATAATGTAGATAGTTGCCAATTCGATACCGATAAAAAGTAGTTTATTTTAAATCATGCACTGACCTGGAGATCGTTTTCAATCTGTCGTTGCCAAGTATTATCCACACGTATGTCAATAATACTTTCTCGAATTAGTGGCTCCTGTCCTGTTTTTAGATGTTCCTTATTAATGACAGCTAATTCTCTACATTCTAGCATCCGTTATCAAATTCTGATAGCTTTGAATTTATCAACCGGCTATCGATAGAAACTTTGTTTTTCATCTTTTACTATTTGGAGGGTAAGTAATTTGGTTTTAAGAAACGTGCGATCGAACTATTTTGAAATTCACCAATTCATTACAGGAACGAAAGCGCAGGACTTACAATGGAACCTTTTTTCAAGCTACACCGGGATCGACTAAGGAGGTATGTCAAAAAATCAAGCCAAAAATTAGGAGTCACGTGACACTTATCTTTCCGTTGAATGGCCCCTTTGAAGAAAAATATTGGCGGTTAAGTTCAATTTTTGAGCAAATTTTCCCTTGCTTTTTCCTCCACGGGGCGAAAACCAAGGCGCTCGTGCGAACTTTGACCCCTAATAATTTTCTTTCAGAGGGACCATTCGGCGGAACGATAAGCGCCATGTGATTCCTAATTTTTGGCTTGATTTTTTGATATAATTCGTTAGTCAATCCCGGTGTAGCTTGAAAAAAGGTCCCATTGTTAGTCATACAAATTTTGAAAAGCCAGAGTTGGAGGTATTTATTTTATTCTGTCTATTCTATTTCTAGGATATATCTGTAATTTATAAAAATTGGTCATTTATAATAACTTATTAATATTATAGGTTCCATACAAAATATATGATGTGGTTCCAACGCCATGAGGAACCAAATGTGATTACTGAAGAATATGAGCAGGTAAGATGAATAACTCATTTTACTATTCTGGAAGACAAATAGTTAATTTCTAACTCAACCACCACGATTTACTTGTGCAGGGGACATACGTATATTTCGATATAGAAAAGTGGGGTCAGAGGAAAAAGGACGGATTCGTGTTCGAATATCGCTATCTGGGAGATAGAGATTTGAGATAATCAAGTCGCTCTTAATCATGTCTCAAGTTTTAGTTTTAGTTTACGGATTACTTATAAATTTTATAAATAAATATACATTTTCGGGATGATTCCCAATAATAAAATATTAATGCAATGTTTAGAAAACTTTTAGTTCCGGTGTATTACATAATTTTAATTTGCATAAATTCCTTTAGTAACACAAATTGCATGGCGCGAAAAAAGATTAATGTGAGATAGTCCTAACTATCAACTGACCATTTTACTATAAGCATTATTTTCGCAGTTGCTAAGTTTGTCTCAATTTTTTTAATGAAGGGCCGGCCAGTGCATTATCAATTGAGAGGAATAACAGGAAAGAATGCGCGACTCATGATTAAATTACTAATTTATCATAAATCAACATCGGTTCATCTGCATTTTACTGTCCAGCAGTAGTTTAGCCCAAATTTGGGAGTAATTTTATAAGTCCGTCAGCCAATTAAGAGAGACCATCATCTCAACCTGCCTCCAGGGAAGAGTGAGCTATAGACACATCTCGATGCGGGAGAACAAGCCAAACGGTCAAAATTCCTAGAAATGCGTGGCTGACAGATCAAAGTTACTTAATTAGAAAGTCTAATTTAGAATCCCTTTGCATTTTGCGGCCAATTAATACCATCGCCGTCGGTATATCGCTGTTGGTGTTTTTTAGTCCATTCTTTATTGCGATATCACCACTAAATCGGAGGAACGTAGTATAAAATAGGTGCCTCAACCCTTGTTTTCCTTCATTTTCCTCTCCATGCATTATTACGCTTTTAACGCATTAATTAACTTATATAACGCTACATTCATCACACCAAGCTATCTTTAACTATATTGTTTCCATTTTTCTTGATTTTTAAAGATTCCACCTTGTCGTGGAGTCGTTTGGAAGTGCGGATATTTTAGTCCTTCTTATCTCCTGGAGTTCACACCTTATCTTGAGAAAGCTCAGAGTGCTTGGCGAAGCGAGCGTCCTTGCGAGCAAGGCGTCCTGCAAAGCCTACTTAAGGAGCCACGACTGAGGGTTTCTGCTCATTCTCTCTCTCGCCACCGTGGAAGTATAAAGGTCAAAAAAGTGCTCTCTCGATCTTGCTCTTTTTCTCCCCAAGTTTTGAGCTGAATTTAAAAGTTGCATCTACTTTTCTAGAAACTTGAAGATTTCTTGCCATGGCGAAAACACGATCTTCTGGACGAGTTTTGCGATGTCGTAGAAAGTCGTGCGGGAACGCAGACTGTTGTGTCGATGTAGAAAAGGCAGTTCTAAAATCAACGAAAAGGGAAACGAATCAAAAGGCAGCATCAATTATTAAAAGGTAAAAAATTAAATAAGGTTTTTTAAAAGAAATTTGTCCCTTAATTTTTTAAATTCCACTTGTCTATTTTCAGACCTTCGACGTCAAGCCCCATCTGTACTTTTCAACGTCGAAGTTTAACCTCTGCTCGTCGAATCAAAACATGGTCATTTGTTGATTTGGCAAAGCTTAACCCTGGGCAATATGGAGCTTTTGGAACGGCAAAATGGTTTCGGTCATGGACAAACTTCATCGATGAGCCAGGGGTCGTCCACCAGGAAAATGTGATGATATGGTTTGCGCAATTGAATGAAATTTTTCGTGTAAGGACTATAATTTATTTTTCAAATAATTGTAAATTTATTTATGACTTTGTTTGAATGATGAACTATACTCTAATTGCTTTACATTCTTATAGAATTCGCAATATGGGAACTCCGAGACGGCAAAGCAAAACAGTCAGCCGACCAGGAATCAACAGATCAAGAAAGAAAGATCGTCATCAAGAAGCGAGGAAAAATTATTCTTGAAAAAAGAAGAAACCCCGTCCTTGCGGAAACAGGAAAAATCTTCCGTGCAAAAGGAGGAAGAATCGTTCCTGCGAAAGAAGGAAAAATTGTCCATCCAAAAAGAAGAATCGTTCTTGAAAGAAGAAGACACGCCGACAGTAAAGAAGGAACCACCAACTGTAAAGAAAGAATCGCCAAAAATAAAAGTAGAAAGAAGATCATCGTCGTCCTTGGATGATGAGGGAATCTCCATTCAGCTGTCGGCCTCTACTACGGATGTATCTCACGGAGATCAAGCTGATGTCGAGAGTTTGGAGCCATCAACCGCACCCCCGGGAGATTCCTACACGTACTTTGCCGTAGTTCCGGATGGCCAATATACTATAATTGATGGTCAAGTCATTGAGGACTTAACTCACCTAACAAGATTTATTGGGGACGATCAAAGTGCTGCTTTGGCTTGCTACCAGCTAATCAACTTAGGCAATGAAGGGGTCAATGTTGGACAAGGAGCCGAGACTAGCTTCGAACCAGACTTTGGACAAGGAGCCGAGACTAGCTTCGAACCAGACTTTGGACAAGGAGCCGAGACTAGCTTCGAACCAGACTTTGGACAAGGAGCCGAGACTAGCTTCGAACCAGATTCGGGAGTTGATTTATCATTTGCAGAGAATTACGATGACCCACTTTTGGAGATTTCACTTGAGGAATTAGATAAGTACTTTGAAGGGGTTTCCACCGAGGAAATGCTTAAATTGGTGGCAAACTGTCAGCCATGAATACTATTTGTATTAATTATCTTGAAAATTTAAGATTATTGACATGACCTGATTAGTAGTATAATAGTTTAAATGTACAAATGTTCAGGGCTTTAAAAGTAACAATATGAATTTCATGAGTCTTTAGCCACTGGTGTTCTATTATTTCTAACAAACACAATCAATTTGACAATAAAATGAACTAAATATTGATTGAGTTACTTATAAATTGAATGTGATTTAAGCTGTTTTACTTCAAAATTCGTTATTTGCATAGTCAGCATTAACTTAATGTCCACTAACGTATAGTGTATCAAAACAAGCGTATTTTTCATAAACCGAATGGGCAGTCATGTATGTAAACGCGACGCGTAATCATTTTGGGAGCCGATTAATCCGCGTGTAAAGTTCGGGAACATTGCTCTCCTCGGCATAAAGGCTATTTGTCAAAAACGGGTGAAATTTAAATTGTCCCATTTGCACCAAAATGGATCTCCAGCATGACCAAGGGAGTCGATCCCGACGATTTTTGACCGTGTCGACGCATTCTTGGCGAAAATTCCGAAGCTTTTGGCATGAGGTGAAATTTATTTTGTAGGTCATATCCAGAAATGGGGATCATGTTAAACATAAAATTAACTAAATACAGCAACTTCCATTAATATTAAATTTTTATTGAATTTTAAACTCTTTCTTATTTGAACTTTATTAACCGATTTTGTAATAATGACATTCATACTGCAATGAAGTTTTAATTTTTTGTACGCTACATACAATTTATACTAAATTCCACTACATAAGCAGTCTTAAATGTAATGTTCTTAATAAATCTTAACACTTTACGCTGCATGCTAACAACCAGAAATAGGGAAAAAAATCTACTTAGGTACTTATTCTAGTTATTTTCTTAACTAATTATTTAATTAACTTCCATAATTGTGCGTTGTTCGGGTTGCAATGCAACTTAACGAAATTCCACAGATTATTAAAGTCTGAATGATGTTTAATTGGATGTTGTTGCACGCCTCAAGGTTAAGGTATTGGCAACGGTTTAACTTAACTATCCGATATAATTAACAATATAATTAGGACGACTTTGTATAAGCAAGCTACCAAGTTGATAAGCTATAAACTATTGGCAGTGTGGATAGAATTTGAATTGTCTAACAAATCTAAAATTTTGCACATGTGGTTGTGGGGATGAATTTAAAAGGTCTAAATTTTGCTGATCAATTTACAAAATACCCGCCATAGTTTAAATCGAGTGCAAAATAAGTCAACGTTATAAGTTAATTGATCATAAAAATTCATGGGGCTGAGTACATTTCTTTAATCAGTATAAAAAAATAAATGAAACAGTCTTGATTTTGGGTATGCACAACTATCGATTAAGTATTCTTACATGCATACGTACGTAATTACCTACTTGGTTATTACTAATAACTTATTAGTTCCAGAAATGTGGAGAAAGCTGTTACAGCTTTGGATTTCAGTTTGAAAATGAACAAATCAAAAAGCAGGCTACATACACGCTATAAAGCTCTATTTTTTCTCTAGTAGACAGAAACACGCTTCACATATTCACAATAATTATCAAATTACTTAATTACATAATTGAAATACTCAGATCTATATATATAAAATCTTATTCAAACAGTTTTCTTGTACATTGTTAACTTATGTACAACATAATACATATAAGTTCTGCACCATACTGATAGAATTGGCAGGATGGTTTTATTATCGTGGAGTATGTGTAGCGTTCTCATGCACATTATATAAAACTTTAGCTAGTAAATAATATTTGTGTATATTTTCGTGTAACCAATAAAGCCTTGATATTATATTTCGATTATTATATTATATTATATTTCGTATATTATATTTCGATATTATATTAGCTACAACCTAAGATTACGATTAAAATGGGCATAAATCTATGTACAAACTTTAATACGTTGCAACAACAAATATTTAGTAACATGACTTGTTAAACATAACGATTTTGTGAACATGAGTTAATTCACCATGTTCACCACCATACACACATTTTGTTATTTAATACTCTTGAGAACAATCAATGGCAGTTTTATCCATTCAACTAAGTATAAAGCTTGCTTAAAAAGGGTAAAATCTTTAGCATCATTGAAAGGTTTAAAATTACAATTTGGAGAGAACCATTTTGCTCGAGATATTTACATTGTTACATAAAAAAAATTGACTATTCCGTAAGATATCTGTGCCACGAGAGGGAATATTTCTCTCTTTTCCTGGGACACCGACCTGCCAAATGGATATAGCTGCCGTAACTGCATACTGGAATTTCGCAACGCCCGGATTGTATGCACCTGTACAACAATTCATGACATTATTGGCTTATCAATTTAGAATTTCTTGCTAAATTTGTCTCAATATTTCATTTTTTGCACACCATTTGTCCTGCATGCTGAAAAAATTTCGTCCTCTTTTCTGCCTCAGGCAGTCCGTCTGCCTGTCGAAACAGTCACAAGAACAAGCCCCCTCGCCAAGAATCCGTTCTGCAAATCCAGATGGACATTTGCACCTCCTAAAAAATAGGACTCGAGTTTAATTGCATAGCTTAACTTAATATTTAAATTTTATTTTCGTTGTTACAATAAATTTTTGTTCTTCACACTGGACGACTCGTATTGGCTGCCTCCTCTCTCGCTTCCGGTGCTCTGTCCTCCTCCCACATTGTCCAAGTGGTTGTTCATTAGTGACTTTGAGGGAGATTCTGGATAAGGAAAGTCTCGAGGCATCATTTCATCCTGTTTGTCACGACATTCGCACTCGGTGTGGTTGTAAAAGACGAGACGTTCCACCGTAGAGCCTCGATTACTTTCGACGGTGATTGTCTGTAAGAACAAATTATATCACAATTTCAGTAACAGGACATGTAATACAGGGCGTTAATAGTCCCATGAAGTTGTTTTGCGATGGTGTACTTGAGCAAATAATGCATAACAATATAATTGAATGAGTCGTTGCGAATGTACATAAAAAAGGCACGCATATAAAGGAAACGAGAGAAAAGAATAAGAAAGAATTGCGCTGTGTGCGTCCAATCAAGCAATTCTAAAATTTAATTTTAATAGCTTCCTTGAACCAAATTTGCGTTACGACTAATTTTACTGACATAATTTTGCCTGACAAATTTTATCACCCGTCATCTTTAGTTAGGCAGCAGCAGCAGCAGCAGTAAGTGCGTTAATCAGAGAGTCAAAGTCAAGTAGAACGTGTATGATATGACAGGATTTTATTTCATTTGGAAATAGGAGAATTTTAAAACGTTGTCATAAAACTGATGCGGACGGCGTTTGTGTGAATAAAAGATGAAAAGTATTTTATAGGTTGGCTTAAAAAGTGGCGTGGTCCACATGTGTCATCATTTTCGTATCTTTTTAAATAAAAACTTACTGCAAGAATGTAAACTTATGCGATATTATATGCGATAAATAGAGGTTGATGTTTTCCATTGAAATTTGGATGGTCTCACGTGTGCGTTTGGATATGTATCACTTTTCTAAAAAGCAGGATACATTAACTTCAATTTAAATATATAAAACTGTAGTGGAATCCGAGATTTTAAAAATATTTAGTGCTGCGATTTGAATCATTTGTGATGGAACTAGTAAAACATTTGTGTTGTGCTACTATTTTATTAGCAAAAACATGCTGACTTTTACATATGGAATAAAGAAGGAATGGAATGAATTAGGTTAGCTCATAATGCACAGATTAAAAACGATCTCACAAAGTGCAGAAACCTAATCACATAATGAGATTATAACTTTATGAGCTGCATGCCCGTCAGTTATGCTGTAGGACGATATACACTGCAAAAATGACTTATATGTACCAAGCTGGACTTGATAGGATTTGGGTGATCTTTACTTATTTCAAACATAGGGCAATTACAATTACAATTCTTCTCGTATCTTTTCCTTACACATTTTGGCCCACTTTAAACCTTATTTAACTGGGTTGAATATCAAAGTTTGAGTTTGTTTGTTCAAATGTGTAAAATTTCAAGGAATCTGAATTATTTAATTTACCCAAACTTATAATGACTTTGTTATTTTATTAGTGTGACATAATATACATACATGCACATTTTAACACCCGACTAATAATTGTATTACACTAAATTTATTTCCGATACTGAAGTAAACATTTGATGAAAGTTGCCAAGATAAGTTTCTCAAACTTTACTATTAATTCTCATCATGATTGCGATTCCCGACTGACAAAAAGTTAAAGTAGGTATGAACACAAAATGTGCAAGTATATAAACGTGCATTTATTTATACATGATTACGTTATCATCTCATTATGCGTATCGTGACGATACTTTCGTCACGTTTTATGTCACGTTGTACATTCCCTCATGATAACAGCATATCGATAATTTGCTCGTCTTCTCTTCTCTACACATACAAAGTTAACAAGATACAAATGAATTGACACGTTGACACAAAGTTGTAATGTGCTGCGTCAACTTTAAGAATGAACTGACCCGACCACTTTTCCTCTACAGAAATGGATTTGGGTAAAATCCAACCCATTCAAATCCTGTTTATTTTTAAAGAGTTAACCTTTTACAGCCCCTATTTCTGTTATCACTCAAAACCATAAACCATTCGGAATGAAACCTTTGGAATAACTAGATTGTTAACAATCATCAACGTTCATAGCAGTCTTGGCCGAGTGGTTAAGGCGACAGACTAGAATTGGACGAATTAAAAGTTCGAGGCTAGCGATCTGTTGGGGTCTCCCCGCATAGGTTCGAATCCTGTAGACTGCGACATCTTTTTTGCCAAACGGGACAAAATTTTGATAACAGCCTTGCTAAATTTTTCGACCTGCAGAGAGAGACCGGAGAGGATATTTTTCCGCTCTTTTTATCAGCTCGAGCCCAAGTTTTCTTTCTTCCAGTAAAAACGAGGAGATGAAAAAGAAGAGTCGATTGAATTTCAATGAAGTATGGAAAGCGATTGATTAGTTGCATGCGAGAGGAAAAAGTGCATTAAGCAGCCCCTCCTGCAACGCGTGTGTGTGTATGTGCATCCATAATTAAGTCGATCCGAGGTATGCATGGCGAAGGATAATGGATACAAGGATGCAACTCATCCATCATCTTCCTCTCCAGATTGAGACTAATATAGCCACAGCCACCCACCAAACAAGCCAGAAAATATGAAAATTCTTGCATGATTCACAAGTGCACGACGTATGTACTTGTATGCATATTTGCCATAAAAAGTCTGCATCAGTCAGGATAACTTGTACGCATCTACATACATAACATGAGTGAGGGATAAAGTGATTTTTGACGTTTCGCTAAATACGTGAAGACTGACTCGATGGAGGATGAGGATTGGACTGGAACGTCGTAAAACATGCAGAAAATCAGGATAGCGACAAGAAAAAGGTTTCATAAGAAGTCGTAACGACTCATGATTTGCATTATTTGTATGCTACTTACATATATACAAGCTCCAATTTACTACTTTTTTCTATATCGGACTCAGTATTTTAACAAGTGTTAGCACGGCTGTGTATTAGCAGCGTATTTTTAAGGTACTCGTATACTGGAAGTTGCATTCTTTTCAGGTGGTTGCCAAATATCATGAGAAGAGCAAAGTTGAGTCATAGTTGTTCTCACAGTCAATAAACGCGTTAGATATCAGTTATCATGGAATATCACGGAATATGGGGGCTTTAACATTATAAGGTATAAGCTAAAGAGCTTTTTGTTAACAGCGAAAGGGACATTATCTCAAGGTTACCTGGGTGTTGTCACATGGTCAAGTTATTAAAGTGTTGAGCTACATAGATTTACATGTGAAATCATGAATGTCACTTTGATCATGCGGGAGAAGAGTATCTTTAGAAAGATCGAAGAATTCATGAGAATTCAATGTTCATGAGCACTTATTTAATCCTGAAATGTATATAAAGGCATCTCACTTATGAACTTATTTTAATTCCAACCTGACGCAAGACCTTATCACGTCCAACAACAGAGAAAGATACCACAAACCTACAGCCAGAATTCTCAATACGACCACAATGTAATTAACTCTTGTACATAGTAAACTTGCAAACTCTTGCTAATTCAAGTTTACATTTCCAGGATTCGGACCCTTGTCTACATTCTGCTGCTGCTGGCTGTGTTTGATCTGGCCACGCAGGTGACCGCTGTCTCCATGAGTTGCGCCATGTGCATGGCTGCTTGCATGGCGAAAGAAGGTATCATTGGAAATCCTGCACGATGCGTCGATTTGTGTGCTCCTGTCTGCTAGTCGAAGAATTTGGATTCATTTCAATTTTTTGAACTGTAATAATTTTTGCATTTTCGACCATTAAAAAAGCAGAGTAATTTTTTTGTCTAAACTTAAATTCAACTGACCATTCATACCATCTCTTGGCTGACTTTTTCTATCATAAATTTAAGATACTTGACCTATCATCCCAGCATAAAAAAAAACTTCTCGACTTTCATTAGCCAAATTCACTGGAATATAAATCTAAATTAGTAAGTAGTCTAAACAAGCCCTACATGTGTAAGGTTTCAAGTCAGATAAAAATGTAGTGTGACAAGTCGCATTTCTGTATACACAGTAAAAAATACATGTAAATATAGCAGTAATAACTGCTGAATCATATTGCAGCTCTATAAATCCGCATCCTGGCTGTAATAACGCCTCCGTCCGTGTGACTGACTTGGTTCCGGGTGATAAATACTATTAAAATTAGCCTCGGATTATTAGTTTTCTTCCTGCCAACTCCCCCTAAACACGTTCGTTACAACATTTTCCAAACAATTTCGCCCACCAACACCACCCGTAAAATTATGTCAAGTCGTAATAATTAAAGCCCCAAGAAGAAAGCAGGAAAGAGTGGCAAAGTCGCTGCGATGATGTTGCCCAACTCAATCAAAAGGTTGTTAATATGCACTTACACTCACGACGAGGGTACTTACATAGAAGGAGAGTTCGACCCTCTGCGTCGTCTTGGGAGAGCAAGTGAGGTCATTTTTGCAACAACCCGTGTCATCCGAGCACTGATGGAGGATGGTGCAATGGGGCAAGTACGTTTTTCCAGGATGCGGGTAAAACTCCTGAACTCGGATCAACTTGGGTCGCGGATGTCTGCAGGCGCCTTCCGTTTGCACTTTCAGCGCGTGTTCAACCGCCTGTTTTATTGTGGACCCTATAAAAGAAGAAACAAATAATACCAGAATTAGGAACATTAAGATTAAAAACATGAAATGACATAATGTGTGAGCAGCAAAAAAAACCATCCAGCCGCTCCTTAAATGTTCGTAATAATGTTGTGAGTGAGTGAGGTGAGCGTGTCACAAAATAGGGAGCAACATCTTAACTTTACATAAATGACGCATTCCGACTGTGTACTTTTATCCTAGAAAAGTATCAGGAAGCACAGCCAAAAGCCATTCAAAATATGGTGCATCTATTCATCCACGGAGTTAAAGACGAGGATAATGCGTTGCTCCCCACCATGAAGCAAGATGTTCCAAGGAGTACGTGGGAGTTATGGTGGTGAAGGTGTCTTTATTGGGACAACGACTACGAGAAGATGAACACTTTTCTCATGCAGAGCCGCAATTACCATTTGTATTACTATTATTACGACATTCTCATAAATGGACAAAATCATGACAGCGAGGTGTCCAAAAGTATGAAATGGCTACTGGAATGGCTATACGCATGTGAATTATTCTTGAGGAATGTTTCAAATAATAATGTTTCTAACCTGGCGTTTGGGGTTGTGCATGTGATCTTGATCCGTAAGGGTTGTTGTGGTGTCCATTTCCGTTGTGGTGGTGGCCGTGATGATGTCGTCCAGTTTGGTGCGTATTAAAGCCTCCATTCGTATGATAAGACTGTCTCCGAGACTGTTCCACCCCAGTCCGTGTCCCGTACGTGTTCCACTTGTACTGCGAGTACGAGATGGCCGGTGGGGGTGGAGGGGTCGTCGTGGTCGTCGTCGTGGTCGTACTTGTCGTCGTTTTGGAGGCCAAGTATCTGTTCCGGTACTGGTGGGCCTGCAATGTACGAAAGACAAGCAAAGTTGAAATACAATTTCCAGTGGGAAAGTCATCAAGAGCTGAAGGATTTTTTATTATGATAATCATTATGATGGCATCAGCCGTATAAATCATGGCCGAGGTGAAGGTGAAGTGTCAAAAGTCGTCATGCCGTGAAGTGCCACTATTAGCGAATGAAGCATGTAAATCCCTCGATACAAATCTTCATTCTTCTTCACATCCCAGAGGGAATAACAGAAAGAACAGCACTGCAGCAGCAGCAAGTTCCATTAATTCATTCATTCATGTCCACTACGTACTGAGACTTTTACTCACGAGAAGGTGTTTCATACCACTACGTACCTGGCTGGCTGGCTGGCTGGCCTACCTGGGAGTGGACATGAGAAACACTTGACAAGACTTTTGCCATGAGTCAGGAACTATGGGTGCGGATCAGCAGTATCATCACAAAAAATGTAATTTATGCACACCGTCCACCTTCTAAAAGTACATATGCATTCCATTTTATTCCTTCCATCACATTCGATATTCATTTAGAGCAGATTTGTCATCGTGAATCGACAAATTCATTGTTTCGTGTTGCATTACCAGCAAAACACCACTCCCACCAGCATCGATACATGGATGGATGGATACCCTTTGTGTGCGAGAGGTTGAGGTTGAGAAGGGTGGAAAGAACAATGGTTGAGGTCCAACGACTATTGTCCAATAATTTCATGTATCCCCAATCAATTTGGAACTCAATATGTTGTCAAATCAAAACCATTAATCCAACGCAATGCTTTTCCATTCTGTAATTTGAATGGCGATAAAAAAGTGAAGGGAATCGATGAACAAAGTGCAATGATTGAATTGACCGTGGTTTCCTTTCAACGTAAAAATAATGCAATTCCGGTAGGTCGGATATGCAATTTTATGTACAAGGATTGAAGTACAACCACGAGAAGGAGCAAGAAATGCATAAAGTAATCAATTTTATACACGACATCATGACGAGATAAGCGATTGTGGAGAATAATTCAATTCAGTAAATGCACACACTGGTCAATTACTTATTAATTTTGCTATCCCATTTAAACTCTAAGCTGTTGTTGGATGTCCAGAGACTAAATAAATAGGTAGGCGCACATAATTATGGTTCATACGCACAACTTGCGAGCATGTCATAACCCTGTCGTAACACAAAAGAGTCCCGTCTGTAATTAATTAAATCTTACTCTTTAAATCATTATCATCACGGGTAGGCAGGCATTATTCGCTACAGAATTTTACTTCTTCCATTCTGTAAGAGAAACAACAAGGATTTTCATTTTCACGTCCAAAACCAGCAATTAAACCAAAACTGCTTGTAAGCGTAATCAGCACAAACATCAAAACCCCGTTAGTTTTCATGTGCCATGTCCTCCTCCAAATTTCCACAGTTGTGTGTCCCGTGATTTGTTAAATCTTACTTTTCATCTTTTAAAAAGATAGAATTTCTTGAGAACCACGATGTCCATGGCGTATTCTACAATCTACAATTGAAAAAAGAGTCGAGATTCACACCAACTTTACATGAACGAACGAGTCTTCCTCTTATTAGACAAGAACCGTTAAATGGGTTGTAGGACATGCGTGAGATTATGTTTTCTCAGGAAATGAACAAGTTTCCTGGAACTTGGTGACTGATGAAAAATATTTGAAAAAAATTCCAGCCTTAGTTGCATTCTAAAATTTGAAATGTTTTTTTTAGTGCAAGATTAGTATTGTGTTTCCGTGAACTTGAATCGATCCTGTTTAGTTTGGATACCTCAAACCGTTGACTCCAATACGTGACCCACCTTCCCTCGCCTGATCCCAATATTTTAAAAAGATACACCAAACCACGTAGCCTATTTTATGAAGATTTCGTAAATAATATTAGAAGCCGATGTGCATTGTGCGGGTGGTTGAGTCAACCCTCGGTAGTGGCAGATGTGGCGATGAGATGCGATATATCCATGTCATGTCAACTTTGGCAGATAAATATCGCAGGAACTCTATATAATACTTCAGCCACAGCATTTCTATTTCATTCATCCTTCTTTTTTTCATTTACCAACGGTAATCGTAGTAAAGTGATCAATCGGGGTGGACCACTCGTTCCACTAAAGATATCGAAACATCACGTGGACATTGACATGAGAGTGACATGATGTACATTTAATTTGTCAGTGGTTGAGTAAAATTCATAACATTGCTTCAAAAATCGTTACAACTACACCTGCAGACTTAGGATTAGGATAAAAACCAGGGAAAAGATGCACCAATTTTACTACAAATCTATCTATGTCCATGCGTATCTATTTCTTTCTCCAGTAATTCTCATGTCGTTTCCACCTCCGCAACAGCTACAAAACTTCAAAGGCAATGACATATGTGTAGAAATTACTTGCACGCACATAATACAGATACACACGTTCATGGAATTACAAAGAGTGATATTTTGAGAATTGTTATTACCATTGTCACCGCCTGACTGTGGGACAGAGTCGAAATAAAGGTAAGCAAAAGGGCTCCTTCCCATTTCCCTTTCTGTCGAATTCGAGATCAATAGGACACCAAAACAATACTATTTATTGTGCATTGTCCCATAGATTCAGCAAAATACGCTTCAATCCATCCCACTCAGAAGAATAGTAAATATGTAATACACGCATGGCTTACACGTAATTATTTGGTCAGCCAAGTCCAATCCTCGTCCAATAATCTTCCCCCACAACGTGAGAGCATGTTCTCCATTTTACGACACATTTACTGTCGCAACCCACCGTCTCAAAATCTATTTAAGGACAACGAGCGAAAAAGTACTTTACTAAAAATGTTTGGTAAATCCCATTAATTTCTTTATGATGACATAACGATTATCAAGCACCCCATTCTTCTGAGTCTCTGATCTGATTGCGAGTCGGCTCAGAACCCATAAATGGTAGTAATAAAAGTGCATCATGCATAAGCTGTCTCACACATTTTAATATTTTGACTAATGATGAGACAGTAAGTGAGCAAGTACTCTGTCCTAGCGACAAATAGAATGGGACATTGATTATCAATCCCATAAAATATTTAATGCTTGAATTATCCGATGTAGGATATAATAGTATAGTTCTGTGGTAGGTGCATAGCCATGTCATGCCCATCCACATTGGGTGCAATAATAAGTGCAACAAATGGACATTTTATACGTATAACGGATAGCGGCACATATTTATTTACATGGTTAGTTTCAAATTTTACTAAATACTTCATAAGGATTTGTGTAGCTTGGCATGAAATTATTATTTTCATGTTTGTAAAACCAAACTCTGAAGTTTCATTTGTTGTAAAATTTATTGCCTGTTGTTTCAATTCGTCTAACTGGATTGAGCTTAAGGAAGGCAGCACTCCGCCAGTTCAGAAGTAAATATGTCTGAGTTAACACAGACATTGACTTAACTTTATATGCAAATGCTAAAAAGAAACTTTTATGCCCATGCTTCACTTAAGAAAACGTCTTATTTGCTGATAATGCAAATGGTTGCATACATGCATGTAAACTGATTCCATTTGTGCAGAGTGCATACATACAAACAGGTAAGTCTAGAGATCTCATCTTTTCATACTCATTTTCCTCATGTTGATGGAAACCAAGTTGTAAAATATTTTAATGTTTGTGCTGCCAAGACACTGATTTTATTGAAACTGTCAAATTTTGAGGGTATGCATTCCATACGCACAATACGTACGTACGCAGTTTTACCCACTGCATGGGAAAATGCGTTGGGAGAGCATTTTCTGGTGTGGATACGCGTCTGTCACAGAGTTCGAAAAGCAACCCAAATGTTCACTTTCCATCTGTCTGATTAGATTATAGATCTACACGTTTAGTTTGTAGTTTGGAGCGGGCCATCGTCCTGTCAGCAAATCTTCCATGTTCTCATCCTGGTAATCCTAATCGTAAATCCGGAGGAGAGACAGAGATGCTTATCCAAAAATTCAAATGACCTCAGCAGCAGCAGCACGGACGGACGGAAAGGATCCCGTTTCCTAAAACTACTTCCCTCTTCTCCATCAGATTTATGGCTTTCATGGAGTAAAAATCAAATTCAATGGGATTTTCTGTACTCGGAATCTCTTTCTGTCCATTCTCGATCCTAGTCAAACTCATGGCCCATCATCGGATCGTATCGACCTTTACGTCGTCATATCTCCTCCGATACAACTCTACGGTGGAGTAAAGGAACAGATGCTACTGCACATAAGCCATGAAAGGGATGATCAAATCTAATAGCTGGGAGGCTCGTAAAGAGAGCAACATTTTTCCTTTGGAAATAGACATTGGTCGGGAATGCTGTAGGTAATTAATTGCGAGTTGCTCGGTCCCAGGACGGGGAAAACATAATTGTAAACCATTGTTTGAAGGGTTTGTTGATAGAAAACATTCCAAGTTGACGAAATAATTCAAGCACGCTGCCACAATTAAGAGAAACCTACTAAAAAAGTGCGTATTATTTGTGGAAAAGATATTTTCCTCCGGGAAGAAAGCATTCGCAAAAAGTCAGATAATTCATAAGTTATGAAATGAGAAAGTGCAGATCTTTCTTGGTGGCTTTGGTCTTGAATCCTTTTTCAGGAAACTGTTTGACAAGGACTTCTCCTTAATCCCATCTTTCGAGCCACTCAGACCACTTACTCATTACTTTTGCTGCGTCTTCATGGGCGGACGGGTTGGATGGAGGAGTGCTAATGTGGGCAAGCAAACTTTACGACGAGACATGAAACGGTGATGATAGCTTTGTCCGATCATGAACAATTGACATGGTTGCAATTCCAGAAATGGAAGGCTTCTGGTGCTGGCAGAAGCTTTTCTTTCGCTCCTCCGCACGCATGAGGAGGTAATAAATGGATGCGAAAGATAGAGTAATAAGTAAGTGGAGGACTGCTTGAGATGCTGCACTCCCATCATTGTCGTATCCACGCTGCTTACGACTTTGGTCGTG